GAATCCTCTTTTTCTTTCTCTTTGAACCTCTGTTATGCAAACAGACCCAATAAAGGACGCTTGGTGCTTTTATTGGAGTTCTCCCCCAGCTTTTTCCATTCTGTGGCACATTTTGGATTTGTGTTGGTTTTTTTTTTTTTTTTTTTTGTTTTGTGAGGCATTTGGGGTTAAGTGACTTGCCCAAGATCTAACAGCTAGTAAATGTCAAGTGTCCGAGGCCGGATTTGAACTCGGGTCCTCCTTACTCCAGGGCCGGTGCTGTATCTACTGTGCCACCCAGCTGCCCCACATTTTGGGGTTTCTAAGATGCCCAGAGCATGCCTCTGAATAGTCCCTTCTCACATTGAATCCTGCAAGGGTGGGTGTGTGCTGAGACAAAATACAGGGATTTCCACAGACCTTTGAAAGCAATGCTTGAGTCCAGACCTAGTGAGAAATGTAGGATTGTACATTTGGAGTTTGATGGGACCCAACAGATCATTCAGTCCAAACTCTCCCGCTCATTCATTTTTCAATGAAGCCTAGATCGGGGATGTGACTTGTCCAGGCTACATAGGAAGTGTCCAACTCTGGCTGCACAACCAGGAGAGTCAATGGGCTGCCATATTTGTTCCTCGGACATGTTGTGGTGAATTGGTCCTGAGACCTAGGGTGAGCTGAAAAATCTCTACGTACCTTTGTGAGGGTAACAATTCTAAATTTTGTTCACTTTGTTTTATTACCCCACCCACCCAATTGCCTAGTAAAATGTGTGGGTCTTTTTTTTAAACCCTAAGAATATGTCTTGAAATAAGGAAAGGACTCTCTTCAACCCAGATCATGAGTAAAGGGGGAAATTTGTGTTTATCTCAGAAGCTGGGTGGGTGCTGATGCAGCAGGAGAGAAGAATAAAAATCTTTAGGAAGGCATTTGTGCCATTGAGGACCTCAGGATCTTGGGGCCTTGCTATCCACACTTGGGATCTCTGGGCCTTTCCTTCGGCTCTGCAGCGGACCCTGCTTCTGTTACTGTCTCCTTCAATTAGAATGTGAGCTCCTTGAGGAAAGAGACTCTTTTTCCTATTTGTGCCTTTAATGCTTAACACAGTGTTTGGCACCTAGAAAGAGTTTAATGCATCTATTTTCATTTATTCATTTGTTCACTAAACCCTGTTTTGTGGGAGACTCTTTGTAGCGGCCAAAGGGGCATTGTTGATTGCCTGTGGATTTCTCCATCAGGGGTCATAGGATCATTGATTTAGTGTTGGAAGGGTCCAGTTTCAACTTGTTCATTTTATAGAGTCAGAAACTGGCCCTTGAAGATGGTGACTCACCCAAGCAAGGTCACACTGCTAGTAAGCATCAGAATCAGGATTTGAACCCATAAGGTTCCAAGTGAGGAGGGGTGTCTGGTCTTGGGGAGCAAGGGCTTAAAAGATACTTGGGCAGGAGTGAGCCTAGGGGCCAGTCTTGTAGAAGAACCCAGGCCACAGGGGAAACCGTCCTCTTGTGATAAGAGCGAGGTCTTTGATGGTGCGTCTGACTCACTGTTTGGAAAACCCTAATCCGGGGGTTAGCCCTGGAAACACAGCCTGTGACTTAGGCCAAAGCAGCCTGGATCCAGATAACTATGTCAAAGGACATCTGCTTTCCAGCTCTGTTACCGAAGCCAGGGAATAAGCTTCGGTGGAAGCTTAAAGGTTGCCATGCAAGGGTGGGCTTAGTGGGCTACCCATTCTGCTTGCTGTCATCTTTTGGGGAACCCAGTGGCTCATCACCTTTCTGGGCCTGGACCTCTCCCTCCACTTGGGAAGTGGGTTAGCGTGACACCCCCCCCCCCCATAGCACAGATGGATTGGTTAGTGTTTATTGGTGTCACCCTGGCCTCTGCTTCAACCTAGAAGAAAATTCACAGGGGAAGGTGGATGCGTGCAATGACTAAAGCAGGTCTCAGCTGGTATCTTTACACAGGCTGCTTACTCAGAAAATTGGGAGATGAGGAAAAACAGAGACATCAACTCCGGTTTGGGCGCTTCTTATAAAAGCGAAAGAATAAGCCTCTTACCTTGTGTAGGTGACAGAGTCCCTCAGGTGAGAGCAGGGGCCCAGAAATGACTTCATCTTGGGCTAAGTGGGAAATCCAGTGGGGATTGATGGACCCCATTGCAGCAGGGTCTCCCTGTGGGTGGGCTCCAGCTCATCTTCATGGAATACCCTGGTTGAGCAATGATCAGGTCCTGAACCCTTCTTTTTTTCTCTGTGACCCCACCTGAATCATCTCAAAGCCAAGCACTTTGGACATGAGGGGGACGTGTAGTTGTTGGTTACCGACTGACATGCCCCACACGATCTTATGGGCAGAGGTGACCTTTGGGGATTTCCTCCTTCACCCTCCCCTCTCTTCTGTTCTCCTCTCCTCTCTGCACGTGGGCAGGGAGTGGAGGGAAGGAGTCACTTAAGAGATAATGGACCGAGGATGGTTAAAACAAGCCAGACTTGGGAATCTGACCTCTTCTGGCCCCCAAAGCCCAGATGTAGACACAAAGAACTTCTGCATCGGGTACAGTCTTGGCAAATGGATTAGTACATTCAAAATACAGTTTGTATTGTCTCACATACCACTATATAGTTTTCATTAAATTGAGCCTCCTAATAGGAGTCAGAGGCTTTATGTCACCTCCGATCTTTTCAGTGGTTCATTATGAAGATGTGAAAGGAACACCCTCACCTTTAAAAAGCAACTGAAGCAATAATGGCTGCTTGGAACCCAGGCCAGGCTACTATATCGGCTACCCCAGTGTCCATTTTATTACCATAAACCGAATGGCTCTTGGTCTAAGTTAGTCGTTAGACACGAAGGTGCCTGAATGCCAAGTGAATGTTTTTATGGAACCTCTTGGCATTTGGAGAGAAGGGACAGAAATACAAGCCTTGTGGGAAAGGAAGACACCTGCTGAATTAGAAAAAACACCTCCCAAGTATTCATTATACACTATCAATCTCTTGCCTTGATCATTTTGATTAAGACACAAAGTCACACAACTAGGAATTCTTGGAGCGCTGATTTGAATTTGGATCGTCTATTCAAAAGCTAGCTCTGTTTTCCATGTAACTCCAGCACTTTTCTGATACCTTTCCCAGACCTCCTTAATGTCAGGGCCCTCCTTCTGTTCATCACCTCCAATTTCCCTTCTATGTGTATACAGTTGGTACATAATTGCCTGCATTTTGTCTGTCCCATTAGAATGTAAGCTCCCCAAGGGCAGGGACCATGTTTTTTGCCTTTCTTTGTATCCCCAGCACTTAGCATAGTGCTTGACACATAGTAGGTGTTTAATACATGCTTCTTGACTTGACAATACCTGCAATCTGCCAAGTTCCAGACATCCAAGATGGCGTCAGCAAATACTTGTTCTTGAACTAACTGACAAAACACAAGGGAAAGATAGAAATTGAGCCAAATTTCAGTTGAAAGCTTGAAGTACTTGAGAATTCCTAGTTTTTTGGTCTTACGGAGAAAGCCCTTGGCCTGGCTTGAGGAGTCCATGTTGTTTTTTGTGCACTACCGCACACTGTGGCACTGAGGGAGCTCCTGTACTTATCACTGGTTCTTCACGTTCCTCCAGCCATAGGATGGAGAGGGAGATGTGGGAGCATCCAAAAGGTGATAGGCCATACATTTAGAGCTGGGAGGACCCTTGGAAGACATCCAGTGCATCCCCCTTGTGGATAAGGAATTCGAGGCCCATTTCATTGGTCATGTTGGACATGGCGATGGTGCCAGCATTTCAACTCCACTCTTCTGACTTCAAATCCAACACAGTTTTCCAGTGCTCAATAGCTCTCCCCTCCCCCACCTCCCGATGAGCTGTAGAATTATGTATGTGCACACCCTGTGGAGTTGAAAAGAAAGTCCATTCATAAACACAGGCTGTTCCTTAACTTGTATCATGTTTTTCTTTGAGAACAACCCATAAAGGGCAAGATCGTGGAAGTGATCTCAAAGGCTTATGATTTAACTTTTCTGGGCCTGTTACCAGTTTTTAGACCCTTGAAGGCAGGAGCCAAGACTTAGGCTGCTTCTTTATCTCCAAAGCCCTGGGTATGGTGCTGGGCACACAGTAGGTACTTAAGAAAGAGCAGTGTAACATAGTGGAAAGAGCACTGACTTACAAGTCTTTGGTCCTGGCCCTAACTTGCTTTGTGGCCTGGAACCAAAGTCTCTTCCTCTCACTGACCCTCCCTCAGTTTCCCTATCTTATTTATTTATTTATTTAGTTATTTGTTTGTTTTGTTTGCTTGTTTGTTTTTGCTTGAGGCAGTTGGGGTGAAGTGACTTGCCCAGAGTCACACAGCTAGTCCTATCTTATTTTAAATGATGATAATAAAACATGGCTGGCTCTGGAGTGAGAGGGGACCTGGGTTTGTGTCTCATCTCTCCCCCTTACTGGCTGTGTGACTTTGCACAAATCACCTCACCTCCTTGAGGATCAGTTTCCTCTTTTGTAAAATGAGATGGTTGGGCAAGGTGTCCCTTCCAGCTTGAGGGACGCTCCAGTCCTATGCTCTACCTATTTTAGAGGACTTTGGTAAAACTCCAAAGAGACAATACTGGGAAAGCCCTTTGTGAACTGGAAGGCATTTTCAAAATGTAATTTGCTGTTTTTATCACTTGTTGGCTGATACAGGGGCACCTTTCTCCTTTAGAAATGAAGTCCCACATTTTCTGCTCTTTTTCCTACATTTAAAAAACAACAACAACAGATTTTTATTGCTGTCTTGTGTTTTGAAATCACCTAGACCCCCTCCCACTCACCCCTTCTTGAGAACCATCTTATGAAAAAGAAGTATTAAAAAAAAAAGAAGGAAATAGGAGAAGTCCTGATTTTTCCTATCGTCCCTCTGATAGGACAAAGAAGGATAGCCCTTTGCCAGTGGCTTGCTTTATGTGTCTTTTTTGTAGGAGCATCACAAGCTAATTCTGTTCCCTTAGGATGACGTGTGCTTTCTTTTTCCCCATAGCACAGAGCTACTTTCAAGTTTGACCCTGCTGACGAAGAGAAGAGAAAGGTAAGCATGAGCCCGGCTCGCTCCTTGGTGTGAGTGTGCGTATTTGCCAGGAGTGTTCCTCAGAATTTGAGCAGTGGAAGGGGCTGGGGAGGCCGTGTACTCCAACCTCTGAATAAAAGGACTCCCTCCCAGAACGTTCCTGACAGGTGGGCTCCTCTTTAAAATCGGGGTAACCCCCGTGGACTCCCCTTCCACCGAGAGGCTGTGTGGGACAATGGAGTGATTGCTGGCCTTGGCCTTGGGGAAACTTACTGACTTGGGGCCTAGTGACTTCATCTCTGTTCTTCAGGTCGATCCCCAGGACTTCCCTGCTCAGGCAGTTTTGATGGGCTGTGGGAAAGCATTCCCACTACCCTCAGACATCTCAGGTCCTCTTTTAGGGGAGCAATCCTGGCCCAGCTTTACCTCTTGGGGTCATCCTGAGGAAGGCACTTTGGCAACCTTAAAGGGTTTGAAAAATGTTGGCCGTTGTTTTTTAATGCAGTTTGAATCTTTTCTGAGTGAGGGAGCCCCCCAGCTTCTCGTAATGCTTGGTAATCCTAGGGGAGGCTTGTGGCCAGGGAGTGGCAGGGCCACAGCCAGCAGCTGGTGGCACTGTGCCTTTTGGAGCTGGTGCCCAGTGGACCGGGGCGCTCCCCAGGCTTGTGGCCTGCCCGGTCACAGAAGGGAGCTGTTCCATGGACGAGTGTATAAATTGTATCTCCTCTTCTTTAAGGCCCTTCTCAGTCGGCCTGTGCTCCGAGTTTCATCTAATTTCTCATTCCCCCTTGGCATGCTCTACACTTTGGCTAGACTAGAATCCTCCTGAGGCCTCCACATCTCATCCTGCCTTTTTATTATTGCATGTCTCTCTTTGTTTACGAGTCAAGGGACCACACTTTGGTCCTGGGATTTTTCTTTACATCTTCTCCAGTTGTCCCAGGAGGACCACTGTTCTGCCCCAACTCTTGTTTATTTATTTTATTTTATTTTTGTTTTTTATATTTATTTTATTCTATATCTATATTTATATTTATTTTATTTTACCACTTTACATTTGCTCTGAGGGGCTATTTTGTTTGTGGGGGGAAGTCTGGAGAGCTTGGAATTTTCTGACCTACTCTACCATCTTCCCACAATCCTCTCTCCCCCCTCCCTTTCTAAGTGAAGACCTTTTCTTCTGTCCAGGCCCACGGTCACTACCATTTCTTCCCTAATGTCCCCACGTCAAGCCAAAAGGCCTTCTTTTCTTCCTTCCTTCTTTCCTTTCTTCCTTTCCTCTTTCCTTCCTTCCTTTCTTCTTTCCTTTTCTTCCATCTTTCCTTCCTTCTTTCCTTCTTTTCTTCCATCTTTCCTTCCTTCTTTCCTTCTTTTCTTCCATCTTTCCTTCCTTCCTTCCCAGATATCTCATCACCTCTTTTTTATTTTTTTAAGTATTTGTCATATTCTTATGACATATTTTTATGACAATAATGTTTCTACGTGTCTAATCACCCAACTAAACATAAGCTCCCTGGGGGAAGGAACTGTTTCTTATTTCATCATTTGATGTAAATGCCTTTTTCTTCCCTTCTCTTCATCTTAAAACCCCTTGACATCAACCCCTCCTCTAACTCTCTCCTCATTTTCCTCCATTTCTGACAAGGAGAAGGCCCTTCTCTGTACCAAGGCTGATCCCTCTATTTGCCCCCTTTATCCCTTCCTCTCTCATCTTCTTCAGCAGCCTAAATCATCCCTGTCAATCGAATCTTCTGTCTCTCCCTCTCTCCTGATCCCCTACCTATTGCCTTCAAAAATACCCAAGTCTCCCTCATCCTTAAAGAGCCTTGATCAGCCCCAAAGGTCCCCTTAAGCCTCTAGCTCCCTTCCATTTAGCAGCCAAACTGCTAGAAAAAGCTGTCCACACCCATTGCCTTCATCTCTTCTCTCACACTTCACTCACCCCTTTGCAGTTTGACTTCTGACCTCATCATTTCAACCAAGATGGCTCTCCTCAAAGCTCCCAAATGCGCCAATAATTGCCAAATCTGATGGTCCTCATTCTGTCTTCATTCTTCTAGAAGTGGGGTTTGTTTTTTAACTTACTGAGCTGCATCAGCCCTTAAAATGATTGCTGTGTTTTCCTCCTGGCCTCCCTAGCCATCACTCAGTCAATCAAAAAGCATTTATTAGAAGCTCAACTTGGACGTAAGAGAAACTCAAAACATCCAGGTTGCTTTTACCATCCCTGTTTTCTGGCTTCCCCTTTCTGAAGTCTCTCCCTGGAGTCTTCTGCCAGTGACTCCTTAGTAACAGCAGTCACACTCCCTGTAGACACCCCTTGGCTCTCCCTCTCCATCCTTCCCTCTTTCTCTCTCTCCCTTCCCTCCCTTCTCTTTTTCTTCCCTCCTCTCTCTGTCTCTCTCCTTCTCTCTCTCTGTCTTTCTCCCCCCCTTCTCTCCCCTTTCCTCCCTTCCCTCCTCTCTCTCTCCCCCCTCCCTTTTCTTTCTCCCTCTCTCTTTCTCTTTCTTTCTCCCCTTTCTTCTCTTTTCTCTCTCTCTCTCTTTTTTAAGGCAATTGGGGTTAAGTGACTTGCCCAGAGTCACACAGCTAATGTCAAGTGTTTGGTCTGAGGCCGGATTTGAACTCAGGTCCTTCTGACTTCAGAGCAGGTGCTCTATCCACTGCGCCACCTAGCTGCCCCTCTTCTCTTTTCTCTCTCCCTTCCTTCCCTCTCTTCTTTCTTCCCTTCTTTCTCTTCCCTCCTTTCTCTCTCCATTTCTCTCTTCCCTTCTCTCTCTCTCCCCCTTCTCTCTCTCTCCCTTTCTCTCTTTCTCCTTTTCCTCCATTCTCTCTTCCCTCCTTTCTCTCCCCTTCTTCTTTCTTCTCTCTCTCCCTCCCTCCCTCCCCCCTTTCTCTCTCCCTCTCTCTCTACCTCCCCCCTTCTCTCTCTCTTCCTCTCCTCCCTCTCCCACAAGAAAACTAACACAACCTTCTTCACACAAGACTATAAAACTTTTGTGCTGACTTGGAAATAAGTCTCCTGTAGAGGTGACTTGAAAACCCACCAGTTCCACCCATTGGTGGTCATTTAGTCCAGATCCCCTGAGCAAAGCATGAATCTCATCTCCACAGGATGTCAGAACCAGAGCTGACGTGGGAAACTGGAAGTGAAGTGATTTGGTCAAGGTTACCCAGGTAGTAGTAAGTGTAAGAAATGGGATTTGAACGCAGGTCTTCTGACTTCAGGCCTCCACCTTCTGCCTCCCATTCATCATTCCTTGTTCTTAGAGAAACCAAACAGGGCATCTGTGATCTAGAAAGGCAAAATCTATCTATCAACAAGCATTCATTAGATTTCAGCTATATACTAAACACTGTGCTAGGCACTGGGGGGAACAAAGAAGAAATCAAAATAGCCCCTGCCTTCAGGGAGCTTCCCTTCTAATGGGGGAGCCATTCCCATAGAGAAATATTTCTAAGAAGTGGGTAAATGGTAACCTTGAACAGGGAGGGCTCAGTAAAGGCCTCAGACATAAGGTGAAAGGACCTACTCAGGGATGTGTTGTGAGTTGTGGCGTAAATCAGTTCTCCCAAGGGGCACCATGTTTGAGTAGGGGGAATTAGAGAACTCATGTGTTCTGCTATCAGCTCTAGCATCCATGTCAACCAACATTCAGCACTTACTCCATGCAGAGAGTGCTTGCTAGGCACCGAGAGAGAGAAGAAGGTTCACTGGGATTTGTTCCCTGCCCCCTTGGAGTTGACAGTCTAGAAGGGGACTAGAGCTTAAATACAGATGCCTTTTATACTGAGTGATGCATATCTAGAATTTGATGGTGTTTAGAATGCTAGACTCCATTTGGAAAATGTCTAAGAGAATGGCCTACCAAAGAGCCTGCTGTTGTGGTGAGCCCAAATGAAATTGGTGCTTGTGGATCTGAACAGGCAGTGGGTTTGCCTTAGACATGGGGCATTCTGGGTGCGAGTGTTAGCTTCCTGAGCATCTGATTGTTCACACCTGTGCTTATCCAGCTGTCCTGACTCTTCCCCCACTCTGAGCTTCCAGGGTGATTGATGCTGAGGAAAGGGTGGGGGGAGGGCTCCCAGGGAAACAGATGCATCATGAAAGCACATGGTGGGGGGGTAAAGAAGACTTAAAAAAAACAGCTGAAAAGTTAAATGGAAGAAGGGGGGAGCACAGAGGTTGTTATTAATCCCAAACAGCCCCAGACCTATAAAGAATACCAATTAGAGCCGATGTGGCATCAAGTGTTTCATGAAAGGATTCACAATGTGGGAGGGGTTTGTTTCAGAATCAGATGGGAGGGTGGCCTTCCTCACCAAAGGCTGAGAGCTCCTGAAGGGGAGCAGTTACCTGGCTGGGCAGGTCTTCATTTACTTAGGCATTTATTAGTTTTCCTCAGAAGAGCTGACTTGTAGAAATATCAATCTGCTAGTGTTGTCCTCATGGACTCTGTGTGTGTATGTGTGTGTGTGTGTGTGTGTGTGTGTGTGTATGTGTGTGTGTGAGAGAGAGAGAGAAAACGGAGGAAGGGAGAGAGAGAGAGAGAAAGAGATGGAGAGAGAGAGAAGAGATGGAGAGAGAGATTGTGTGTGTGTGAGAGAGAGAGAGAGAATATGGAGGGAGGGAGAGAGAGAGAAACATGGAGAGAGAGAGAAAGAGATGGAGAGAGAGATTGTGTGTGTGTGTGTGTGAGAGAGAGAGAGAGAGAGAGAATGGAGGGAGGGAGAGAGAGAAAGAGAAGGAAAGA